CCCCGCTCCAGGGCTGCTCAGCGCCTCTCTCCAGTGCGCCCCGCTCCAGGGCTGCTCAGCGCCTCTCTCCAGTGCGCCCCGCTCCAGGGCTGCTCAGCGCCTCTCTCCAGTACGCCCCGCTCCAGGGCGGCTCAGCGCCTCTCTCCAGTGCGCCCCGCTCCAGTGCGCCCCGCTCCAGGGCGGCTCAGCGCCTCTCTCCAGTACGCCCCGCTCCAGGGCGGCTCAGCGCCTGCGGCAACCGGTCTCTAAAAATCTCCTGCTGCTTCTCCCTCACCCACTCTGTTTGGCTCTTCTCCATGTCCGGCTCCGACTTTCCATGTCCGGTCTCTGTCTTCCCATGTCCAGTGTCTCTCTCCCCCAACCAAACAGCTGCCTTTTTATCAGTGTCCCAGTCGGCACGCTGCTTGGCTGATAGGGAACACCTGTGCCGCTGCTGTGGGCATGTCCAGGTGTGAGTGGTAATGTGACCTCCAAACAAAATCAGAAAAAAAAAACACATGCAACACACAAAAACGAAAACAACAAGTAAATAAGTTCAAAAATAAAGAAAATCCAAAATTAGAAAATAACATGCAATAAACCTGACAAAAAGGCCACATTACCACACTTGACTAATGTTTAAATTGGTCTGCACCTGCCTCCTCGAGCTGGGCACGGAATAAACGCCTCTAAAAAAACTTCTGGCCTGAACAGAGCAAGCGATCTTCATCACAACGTCATGCTTCATATTTAAAATATTGCCGCACAGCTGTTGTTGATGAATAATGCAGCGGTAGCTCCGAAAATCTGGGAAAGTTTCATACAGCTTGAACAGAGCAACAAATCCAGCAGTGCGCCAAACCATAGATCAGTCATCCCCAAAGTCGGTCCTCGAGGGCCGATTTCCTGCAGGTTTTAGAGGTTTCCCTGCTCCAACACAGCTGATTTTAATTGAAAGCTGAAAGCTGAAAGCTGCTCGACTTCAATTATCATAATCAGCTGTGCTAAAGCAGGGAAACCTCTAAAACCTGCAGGAAATCGGCCCTCGAGGACTGACTTTGGGAATGCCTGCCATAGATGGAGCCCCATCAGTTGTGATAGATGTCATTATCCCATTATCTCTGCAGATTCCTCTTCGCGCTTTAGTACGGTGGCTGAGAAGTGCAAAACACATTTACAATTC